ATTCCAAAGGTTTACCCTGAGTACTCAACCAAGCGTGTGCTAACAGCGGAGTGGATCGATGGTGTGCGACTAAGCGATCGGGAGGCACTAGGTCGAGTTGTTGGTGAGAAACTACCTGAAACAGGCGGGGGAATGTTTGCGGATACAGTACACGATGAGAAGAAAAATGGCATTCCTGAGAGCATGCATCATGTTAAATTACGGGGCGGGATGCACGCAATAATGCATACAATGGTTCGTATTTTCGCCTTTCTGTAGACTTATGACTGATATACCTCCTATTCGTGCAGGTTGAGCTTTTCAGCGCACAAATGTTCGACTGGGGCTTTGTCCATTGCGACCCGCATCCAGGGAACATCATTATTCGTGCCCGCCCAGGCTCTTCATCATCATCTAAATCGTCATCGAAACCTGTGCTCCGCGATCCTCAGCTAGTACTACTAGACCATGGCTTGTATGTCACTATACGCCCCACCGTCAAGCGCCAGTACGCCTCTCTCTGGCGTGCACTGCTCACCTCGAATTGGGACACAATAAGAAACGTCACCGAAAGCTGGGGTGTCGGCGAGGCGGGGCTGTTTGCTAGTGCTGTCCTGATGCGGCCTGTGAAGATTGATCGGGCTAAAGGGTCGAGTTCGCCAGCAGAGAGTGCTAATGGGGATCCCGGCAAGGAGCTTAATGCGTATGAGCAGAGTGTACGGATGAAAGAACGACTGAAACGATTCCTTGTGGATACCGATAAGATGCCCAAGGAGCTGATTTTCTTAGGACGGAATATGCGGTACAGAGATTCCATATTCATACGTTTACATTCGCTAACTCTCATTTCAAAGAATCGTACAAGGTAACAACCAGTCGCTCGGTTCTCCAGTCAACCGCATCAAAATCACTGCGTATTGGGCTTCCCGCTCGCTAGTCACGACGCATGAACGATCTACTCGCGCATGGTGGGCCCACCTGGATGCGCGTGAGCTCTGGCGCGACATACTCTTCCGCACTGCCATGTTCAGCCTCGACATCGTATTCTGGGTGTCGAAGATCCGGCAGCGTGTGCGTGCGTTGTTGGGCCTCACGAATGGCGGATTTGAAGACGAACTGGAGAGGAGCGTGAGAGGGTTTGCGAGGAGCACATTCGGTGTTGAGGTGGGACCTGGGGCATTTGAGGGCTAGTAGATTTGAATGTGTGGGTCCCAGGGTGTCACGGTGATAGAATTCCAGCTACTTTCATATTGATAGACCAGAATTCATTGCTTTCCTCTTACAGCTTATATTTACTTGGGGAGCTGGACACACAACGGGGTTTCATCTATTACGATACTATTTAACCCTGAATGGCATGGGACTCGGGAGTTCGAGAGACCTCTGTCACTCATTTTTTTGATACATTGTAGAGTTTTGTAGTTATACAAGAACATATGGTCACTGTGTACAATCCAGCCGTGACATACGGGCAGGCTACTGTTTGTCCAGCTCCTCCACAGGAAAGTATTTCTTAGATGCATATACGCCGTGACACACACCACTTGAGCCGTTGTAACAATCTGTGCGAAAACACCTACTACTAGTAGTAGCATTGAACCACCAGGCGAATAGAAACTTCAAGTTTGGTACATAAATGAATAAATTATGCTGTAAAGCTCACACCGACTGGTACTAGTACCCTGCACGTCGGAAATTGTTGAATTCAAGTTTAGTACCGCTAAGGATGCATTGAATCCGACCGACGGTATCTTATTGCACCCGCCGCGGAAAGTTCTACTCAAGGCCTCAGGCTGAACGCGAGTGTTCTGCCAGTGTTTCAGACTTGTTATCTACTTCCAACTGTAGCTCTTAATAAGTCGTTCAATGGTAGGCAAGGTCCTCGTGGATTTGAGCCAACTGATAAATCCTCAGAACTTAGCGTCCAAGTTTAAATTCGGAATTCGGAGTCGGCGGCCTCATTTTAGTCTTCATTTCTCGTCCGCTAAACTACGAGACGTCGGACCCGGGTAATGGTCGGAGGATTTATATATGGCGTCACATCAGTTGCCGAGCGCACTAGCTATAGTCTTCCAAAGATGATGCGTAAATATAAAGGCATAAGAGTCTCGCAGATTCAGAGTCTAATTCAGCCCACTCTCTTTCTTTAATATCTCGTGTTTCCCCTTCGTGTCCCATGGCGCCCAATTCCATTGAGGTTATGTGGGGGCCCGGGCTCATTGGTGAGCATTCTGGTGACTCGCCTTACCTTGCAGCTGACATAGGCCAAGGATTCATCATAGCTACAGTGTATGGATTCGCGTCACTCAGTCTCCATCCAATATTGACATGCAAAATTCCAAAGGTTCTATGGGATATCCTTTGGGCAGTACATGTTCTACCTGCGATATTTTCCACAAGATTCGAAAAGACTCAAGTTATTCGTGAGCACACCTGATATTAATAAAAGTATCGACGATGCCATCTTTCATCACTAGATAATGACAGTCTTGTGGGTGCTCCACAGGATCTTGAATGTATACTGATGCCATGCCCATGTCACAGTCTTTTTGAAACGATTAACCAATTCGCATTGATGGCGGTCTATTGGTCTATCCTTATCTCGTGTCGACGTAGCACGTCCCTTGAGTGCACGACTGAATTCCCCTGGTAAGTCGATAGATTTGTTCCTGGATACACGGGCTCATTGGGAAAATAGGCAGATGCTAGTAAGTACATTTGTATCATTGTAGCGTGCTGTACAATGATCCTTGACAACAAAGCTGGGATTATTTTTGTCAGTAAGTACTCCATCTTTGGTCGTTCGTGATATCTAGTAACAAATCATTAGTTTTCGGTCATTTTCTTCGTTCAATGGTGTGTGTCTCCCAGTGACTGGCCCTCAGGATGATGCTCATTTGTTTCGATAACACAGTTTCTATGCGTACAGGGTGTGGATAAGTGTGTCCTTCAGGATATGTAAAGTAAGGGTCTCAATGCACTTTTTCAGTCACTGGCAACAATCACTGGGTCACGGGCATAATTGTGAGATAATATTTTCATCATCATTTCTTTCATAGAGAGTTATAACACAGACCATCAGTGCGTGCTCGCTACTACATCGTTCGGTCAGCTCTTTCGGACGGTCATGTACCCTCTCTGACTTTTGAACACTAGTTTGTGGCATGAGTTACATTAACCTTTCAATTCTACTGTTACTATTCTGACATGCCATCGTCTTGGTTCCTAGTCGTCGGTGGTTTAGGGTGAGTGCTCGATCATTGAACTTATACGGACTCTCACTTTGGTGCCAAAGAATATACACGAGAAGCCCTGAAGTCCTGTTCAGCTCGAAGGTCCGGCCAGTTATAGAATAGTTTTGAATAAGCCTAACGAAATCATACCTCGAATCAGTGGTCGCCAATAGCGTCATTCATCAGCGCATTATGTGATTCTGTCATCACAGTGTCCATATGGTTGTTCATGCGACCAGCACGAACCGGGAATGTTCGGTGCGTAGTCTATCTTCCTTGCTTGTTATCCGACTCATCCAGGATTCTGTGATGGAAGGAGAAAGTCAAGAAATTATATCAATGATATGATGTGGGTTTTTATCAACATGGGTTTGTTTTCATGGTATGTGCAATCCTCCATACCTGTTGGATATTCCACCTCATATGGTTCCTAGCGTTGTAGCGATCAGTGTGACTGTGCTGGTAAGTGATTGTCGTCCATGCAAGACGAGGGATCAAGACTGTCTCAGTATATGTTTCAAGACGGTCTTATCGGACAGTTCTATACCGCTGCGCCCGGAGCAATGCTAGGAAAATGTCAGTATGTTTCCCTTGTGCTCTGAATAGACTAAAACCCTTGTCACAGCCTATATGAACTCGATGATGGCAGTGTGAGTGAAATTGTTTCTATACGCGAAGCTCACTCAGGCAGTAAATTGGCGGTCAGGCTCAATGCTAGAAAGTCCATCCGCGAAAGGGAACAACGTGGCTACAACTTAACGGAGCTTCCTACAATACCTACAATACGGTGATATTTTTTGTTCTGGCAAACATCGGATATGATATTCACATACATTTATGACCTCCGTAATCCTCGGCCAGCATATGGGGCATACCATCTCTCCCATGACTTTCCTTTCAACTGCTCCATCAACATTATACATTATATACACAAATCTAGGACTATTCTATAATGGTGAGCTTACCTCACCTATTCTTAGTTGTGCTGGAGTGTCACAACTGCGGTATATGATCTCAAGGAGGTACTATGATAATGGACGATAGGTCACGGTTCGATAACTTGGACTTGCCGATTTGCCGCAACTGTCTTGGAAGTTTGAGTGGTGTTTATTCTAGTACTTATTACTGGGATCCGGTATCTTCTCGAAGTGCCTGACTTCGCAGATGATAAGATTGGACCGAGCCCAGGTCCCTGATGGGCGACTCTGACAAGTTACCAGGCGGTTTACCTGTAGAAGAGGAGCCTCACTCATGAGCAGCGTAGTTGAAACGTTGACCAGTGAAAACCCACTATGGCGTGGTACGATGGGATCCGATTACTGCTTGTATCGTCGTTGATAGGGATATCAAAATGACACCAGACGTACATGATTGTGGGCTATCGTTACCCGATAGTCAACATCCGAAATAGTGATGGGGATGAGTTGTCCCGACAGAAATTCATTCTCAAGCACCTCCATATCATCAAGGGAATGCTGGCATGTTATCATCCACAACAAACGACTGCGACTGTTATACTCCATGTCGATTTGTTGCTGCTCCATGGCGGAGGACTTCAACAGACACATGCCAGTAAGATCTATCGTGGCCCATAAAGCAGGTTAATGATCTGCGAGAACAAGTCATCAGCGTGAATTAAAGTGCCCATGCAGTGAGGGTTCAAGCGCGCAGCAAATTGCCAGCAATATGTCGTGCCCGCCTTTGTCGTGAGATAAGACAATGAGCGCCCACGGCATATTGCGAGCGCACGCGCAGAGCTCGAAATCTAAACTTAGCGTTTGAACATATCATTCCAATGGGAGTTGCAACGTTGCAGCTCGAGAGTCGAGACAGACTCCGGTTACTCGGAGAAAACAGTGAAAATAATAGCAGCCGGCCCTCATGATTATGTTGCCCTAAAGTCTGGTGTCGTAAGCTTATTGAAGGCGAACGACTCGGGAGTCGGAACGTCTCAGCTTCAACAACAACTTGTCCCTCCCGATGTTCTCCGCTCAGGTTCTCTCTGTCGCGACATCGTGTATTATTTCACTGATTGCCGCTTTGCGTCTGAGTCGTAGACGCGTCCACTCTTTGCCTCTGCCGCCTGGCCCTCGCGGTTTACCATTTCTGGGTAACGCACTGCAACTGGACACCAAACGACCTTGGCTCACATATATTGCTTGGGGAAAGATTTATGGTGGGTGACTCAAGGTCTCTTTAAACGTTCGGGTTGAATTTTATTCCCTTTCATAGGCAAAATCATTCACTGTAGCATCCTTGGGATTGATATGATCATTATAAACTCTGAATCGATCGCGCGGGAGTTGTTGGACAAACGTTCTGCAATTTACTCAGACCGCCCCGTCATTCCCACCAATGAGATGTACGTCTTGCTCTCATCCATCCTATTCTGATCAGCTGACGAGGCAGAGCTGGACTGGAATTCAATACTGTACTCCTTCCGTATGGCGAGACCTGGCGGCGGCATCGTAAGATCTTCCATCAAGTCCTTAGAGCCAAAGCTTGTGTTTCATATGACGAGATATACTCTCGCCACGCGAATGAATTAGTCTTCAATCTCTTGAAGGCCACCGGTGACCTCCAGGAACCTACTCAAGCGTTTGTGCCTGATTCAGTAACGTTGTAACCTCCGATCCAGCTGACAATTACACAATTGTCAGATACACGGCATCGCTGATCATGTCCGTGACATATGGATACACTAGCTGCGGAACCCAAGACCCATTCCTTTCCCGTGCGCAAGAACTTCTGGACATCGCCAAACATGTTCTTTCTCCAGAGAGGGCTGCCATGTTCACAGCCTTTCCTTTCCGTGAGTGCTTCAATGCTATCGACGACGTCTATTTGAACATTTGGCGCGTCGGTTACAGTTAAAAAGCTGCCAGTTTGGTGCTTTCGTGGAGCCTATGCCCTGATGGAACGCAGTAAAGAATTATGTCAACAACTTTTAAACGAGCCCTTCAAGGAGGTAAAGGTACAGATGGTACGTTTGCGCATTGTGGCTGGACGATTTGCATGATCTGTTTGCCTGTAGGCAAATGGTACCGCTTCAAAATCACTAGTTACCGACTTCCTCAGTCAACCTGACAACAGTGTTGATGAAGACACAATGAAAGCTGTTGCATTGATGGGATACATAGGTAATGATTTTTCAAAAATACAGGATTCATTTTTGATGCAGATACGGTATCCTAGGTGGCATAGACACAGTGAGCCATTGGTTTAGAGAATCCTTATTACTTCTTCCTTACCTTGATGTCCGGCAGTCTACATCCGCGTTGCAGGTATTCCTGTTGGCCATGATACTTTTTCCAGATGTCCAAGCCAGGGTTCGTGCAGAAATAAATCAAGTTGTGGTGCATGATAAAATGCCGTCCTTTGATGATAGGCCATCGTTACCCTACCTTGATGCCGTTCTCCGCGAGGTTCTAAGATGGTGTCCTCCCATACCCCTAGGTCGGTCCAGTTGTGTGCCTTGGTGTTTACGCAATTCCGTAGCTCACTCCTTGCACAGGAATGGCGCATGCGACAACAAAAGATGACATTTACGGCGGGTACTTTATACCCAAAGGTTTGTCATATGACTCGGGGTTTCATTGACTTATCTGTAGTTCAATTAGGCACGGTGGTGATGGTTAATCAATGGTCTGTACGATGCAGCGTATCTAAATGCTTAAGTTGAACATGACTTAGGGCATTATCTCGGGACGAAGACATATTTCCTGATGCATCACGCTTCGATCCCACTCGCCATCTCACAGCTGATGGCAAGCTAAAGGACCTTTTTGTCAACCATTTTGCCTTTGGTCATGGCAGGTGAATATCTTGCAATTAGTATCACTTTCAGCTGTTCACCGACTCGAGCAGGCGCGTTTGTCCTGGTAAGATAACTAATGATTCATCGATGTTAGCGACGACACGCTTATGCCCTTGGTAGGTCGTTGGTTTGTAGAGAACAGTATGTGGAATGCAATGGCTACCATCCTCGCCGTCTTGCGTATCGATCATGCCAAAGACTCGAACGGAAACAGGATTGAGGTAAAGCCGGAAATCACCACCGGCATGGTAATGTAAGTGGTCTCGATGTACGCACGAGATACAGCTAACTTTATTTCATCCAAAGTCACCCGCAGCCTTTCCAGTACTCGTTCGAAGTCATGAATTCAGCGAGAGAAGGGCAGCTTCGCGCAATGCTGAATTTGAAGTAGATGGTCATTTGCGCTACTATGCCGGTTTTCAAGGGCTCGGAAGGAACCAGCACCACACGTCCAAAGCCCGTTTCTTCTTCGCGTTGTCATTCTCCTCACTGCACCATACAATCCACTCGCTCGTTTGTCACAATACTCTCGTTTGCTCACTCATTCTCACCCTCGTTAATGATTTACATTTAGCTCTATATATCTCTTCGTACATACTCACGGATTTACTAGTAGCATCCTAATCAATTGCAAGTTTGTCTGCAGAGTGAACTGCCAATGTGACTGTCCGCTTGAGTGCCACGCACGAAAAAGTGGACCAATGCGAAGATAGTATGTCCACTAAGTATCCGGGGTGTGCGTTCTTGTGCGGCGCCGCGCAATGAGCTGAGCGTTGAACGTCGAGGCCTATGGTTTGCCTTGGACATCATTTTGGTTCATTTTTGCTAGCGCAGCAGTGTTAGAGAATAGAAGAGGATCATCGGACCATGAGATGATTGCACAAGTCAAAAATATAGCTTCCAATCGACACATGGATATCGGTACCGTAGAAATACTATAGGTCCGTTTTATATCACCTGCTGCACGGAACGAGCCAGTTGATTCGATTTCTCACTCGCAAGTATGATATCGCCTTGGACAGCCTTTTAGTGCATTTTTGCTATCGCAGCAGCGCTGCAGATAACTCCAGGGACCAGAGAATCGCGTCAAATCATGGTATCATTGGATATGGCTTTTTATTAGCTGCACATGTGATGAACGTAGCTGCATAGATCCTTTCAGGAATCTCACACCTGTTCCAAGGAGACCGTTTGTCATTACGCCACCTTCAAGATATTGATAGCTCGAGTGAACTGGTTCTCCAAATTGACTTGCAATTACGATCGAGTATGGTACTGCTCAGACTGAAATTAGTGTGTCACTGAAATTGAGGACTTGCCCTGGAAATCCGAGAGAGACACCATCTTTTACATAGATATGATGTTGCGAGGGCACATCATTAATATTGCTGTGGGGTCGGTGACAATATAATTACCCGGTAATCCGAGCACCCGGTACCGGGTCTGTTCGGGTGTGAAACTTGGGCGTCTATAGACCTGCGCGCTTGTCAGTTTCAACACGAGGTCCCTTTTGACAAACCGAGCTGTCACAATGCAGTGAAGTGCATACCGTTGCACCTGGCATGGAGACAAAAGTCGAGTCGCGCTACTGCAGTGGCCTGCTATGAACATGATATATTCTACGATGGCAACGGGGTTCCCTGAGGTTGGCGAGTTTTCCGATCATCAATGCTCCAGGATTATTGGGTTAAACGTCCCTCAATTACGATCGGAATCCGAGACGCCTACTCGGCTCTACACGGGCGGATCTTAGGAATCCTGGACTAACTCACTGTATATCTCTCCGTTTCCTTATCTCCATCATTGTTTTCTCATCCATCTTCCTTGTCGAGCACACATTGTCCCATCTCACTCACTGACGCCATGACCATCGCGAGCCTCCGACGCTCGCCACAGTATCTGCCCAGGCCACTTGCCAAGCGTACTTACTCTCTGCCGGCACGCAGGACACTTGCTACGGTGTCGCCTGAACATGCAAAAGTCACAGTGGGCATACGACGAGAAGATCCATCAAGGATATGGGAGCGTCGCTGCCCCGTTACGCCTGATGAAGTTGCCCAACTCGTTCAGCACCTCGACGTCAACGTTCTCATTCAGGACTGCGACCGTCGAGTGTTTCCCGTTGACCAATTTATCAAGGTAGGATATCACCATTCGTACATCGAGCTAGGCGGTGACTGACCATGTTCTGTTTCAGGCTGGCGCTAAATTACACCCGACGCTGGAACCTGCACATATTGTGCTAGGAATAAAGGAGACACCACTCAATGAGTTGGTTACATCTCCTGTTTCTGCGCCGGGTTTGCGCTCAGGTCCTTCCATACCCCGCACCCATCTAATGTTTTCTCATACCACGAAGGGTCAGCCCTACAATATGGAATTACTCTCCCGCTTCCTTGGTTCACATGAGAATCCATCTTTGCCCCGGTTGATTGATTATGAACTTCTCGTGGGCAAGGACGGCAAAAGAACAGTTGGCTTTGGGTGGTTCGCAGGAGGTAGGCAGTGGCTCAAACCTATTGGCAACGGCTCACCATCAAATAGTTGCTGGTGTTCTCGAGTCTTTGTCTGCACTTGCTCATGCGCATCTCGAACTTGGAGTTGCTTCTCCTTTCCTTGTGAGTGCTGTTATACAACTATTGCTTCGTGTAATCCTAACCCTAGCATCGTTAACCCTAACCTCAATCGCCGTTGGTAGTACACGCCTCGTCCACACACACATCCATCGATTCCATCGCTTCGCTCTGCACTTCGAAGCATTGGCCAAAACATAGCAGACAACGGGACGCCTAAGGCATTAGGACCATTTGTTATCGGGCTCACAGGGTACGTACTTGTTCAAGATCTTGATCATGTATTGACGACCCACATTGATAGAAGCGGGAATGTGACAGAAGGATGTTTATCCATTCTAGACGAACTCCCGATTGTGAATGTGGCAGTGGAAGACCTGCCTGGACTCGTCAGTAATCCTGGTATGGGTTGTCTTTCTCTGTCTGGATGTATGCTCAAGTCGCACCCAACTAGGTACTGACCTTCATAAGGTGTTTTTCTTTCCACTTGTGATAGTAAGATCATTAATATTTTGGTAGATATACCTCGTACACGCGCTCCCTAAAGACTACCTCACTCGTTCCGATGGTGGTCAATATTCCCGTGATGATTATTACAAGAACCCAGCCATGTACCACTCGGACTTCGATACCAAGGCAAGCCTCTGGTGGTTGTTTAGCATATTTTCTCTCATATTTCTCCTTCGGTAGGTTGCACCATACCTCACGCTCTTCCTGAATGGCGTTGGCTGGCTCCCGTCTTTCCCGCGACTTATGACAAACGAACAACTAGCCACTGCTCTCACCCGTGCGGCCGAAGTAGGGCGAGCACGGTTTGGAGTAGTCGGCGACATCAGTTGTGACGTTGAGGTACGACGATTATTTACCGTCGGGGATGTGTTAATCATTCACACTGTCTACTAGGGAGGTCTCGAGTTTCTCCCTCGTGCATCGACACTCTCGGACCCCTTCTTCAAGCACCGACCGTCCTCTCTACCTTCTCATCTTCCGAGCGTGACTATCATGTCTGTTGATATCCTTCCCTCAAGTCTTCCTCTCGATGCTTCTCAGCATTTTTGTGGGGTTTTGATGCCATATTTACGCGCTCTGATTGACGATTACCATGGTCGACCTGGCTCTCGCGAGCATCTCGAGGCCTTGAACGTTGCAACAATTGCTCGGAATGGCGAGCTGCAAGGCAAGCATCGTGGGCTGGCGGCGCATGTTGAGAGGTGGCAAGCGAGCCGAGCCGCAGAAATAGCGAGCAAGGCAGGAGTAGCTGAGACATCGCTCAGGAAGAAGCGCGTGCTCATGCTTGGCTCTGGAATGGTTGCAGGTCCTGCTGTGCAAGAGATCTGCAAGAGGTCTGACGTGGAGATTATTGTTGGTCAGTTGCTGTTTTGCACACATCATGGATGTTGGATTAATGTATTTCTTAATTTCCGGAAATCCATATTGCGTGTTTTACGATCGTTGATAGCCGGCAACGTGCGCTCAGAAACTGAGGATTTGACACGCAAGTTCTCAAACGCGAAAGCGGCGTATTTGGACGTGCACGATGCTGCAGAGATGGCAAGGTTGATTCAAGGTGCCGATGTTGTTATTAGGTGCGTGACGTCCTACCTACAATTTACACGATCTGAGTGATGATCAACTTGAAATTAGCTTGCTCCCAGTTCCTTTCCACCCTGCCGTCGCAGAGCTGTGTATCCAACACCGTAAGCACCTCGTGACAGCATCATACATCTCGCCTGCCATGCGTGCCTTACATGAACGGTCAGTACACACGAATATTCGTTATCGCCTGCGCTGATGGAGTTTACTTCGTGTCATTTGTCATAATCGCCCGGCTCCCTATGGAACATTCTGATGTTGGTGCCATGCAACGATCGTTGGATCTGGAACGCATCACGGAACACAGGGCTCAATCGGCAGATGTGCTTTTGCTAAATGAGATTGGTCTCGACCCAGGGATCGATCACTGCTCTGCTTTATCACTGCTTGCGCAACTTCAGAGAGATAAGAAGCGTGTGATTTCGTTCACGTCATTCTGTGGTGGCTTGCCTGCCCCTGATTGTGCGGATGTGCCCCTCGGGTACAAGTTTAGCTGGAGCCCAAGAGGTGTACTCAACGCTGCGCTCAATGGAGCACAATTCAAGCTCGATGGGAAGGTGCGTTGATAACGAGATGAAACACGTGCAGGAAGGCTTAACTATTGTGGCATATAGGAGATGAAAATATCTGGAGATAATCTTCTTCAGGAATACTTCCCCGATATCCCAATTTCGCACGTCCTGAAGCTTGAGGGCTTGGCAAATCGAGACAGCCTGCCGTATGCGGAAACGTATGGGCTTGGTAAGCTTGAGAATTTGCAGACTGTTCTTCGTGGAACTCTCAGGTAGGTAGCCGATGAGCGCTAGATCGTCTTTCTAAGGTTGACTGGCACATGTCAGATACCCTGGGTTTGCCGATTTGATGCACGCCTTCAAGATTATAGGGCTGCTTGACACAGAAACTTCGATTCATCTGCGTGATTGGCGTGACCTCGCACGGGTGTCCCTGGAGAAGAGGATTGGAGAGCAGATCGGACGCGATCGCCGCTCATTTTTGTCAGCCCTTTCCACCGTCATGACCGCCGAACGTGCGGAAAGTGCACTCGGCGCTCTGGACTGGTTGGGCCTTACGCCTGAGAACGTCCTATCTAAAACCTCCTTAGCAACACCACTCAAACCACAAACGCCGATCGAACTTTTCACCTCGGTCCTTGCCCACAAACTCAGATACAACCCCGGAGAACGCGATATGGTCGTGCTGTCACACGAAATCGTCGCTCAGCCGTCGCTCCCGTCTATAGATTCAGCCACGGAAGTTCACACGTCAAGTTTGGTGGCATACGGCAACTCTGAGGCGTCTGCGATGGCGCGGTGCGTCGGGCTGCCTGTCGCTTTTGCTGCGCTCGAGGTTTTGTATGGTAACGTTCAGGTGCGCGGTGTGCATGGGCCTACGGATCGGGGTCTGTATGGTGCCGTACTTGACGGATTGCAGGGCGCTGGGCTTGAGATGAAGGAGTCTGTCAGAAAAGGCCCGGGAATGGAGAGGGTGTTGGCAGAAGGACTGAACGCACGCAGGGTGGCTCTTTGAACACTCTGAGACTCTCGAAGGATACTGATACCACTATACCAATCCGTATAATTGATACATAGTACCACCATCAACTTGAACGTCACTGCAACTTTAGTCTTGTCCGCTCGCACGGTCCTGACTCATGACAGCGAAGAAACTGCAACCAGAATTGGCGACATTCGCAAGAGGTACAAGGTCGATTATTCATTATGTGTCTCTTAGAATGGGAAAAGTTATCTACGTCGACACGGGGTAAAGAACAGGTATACACTGAACACGAACTAACACGAACGTAAGTAACCAGAAGACTATTCCTACACATCGTTCTTTGCCCTACGCTCTGCAAAAGAATACAAGAAATTATTAGTGGCAAGACAACGCCAGTAACTGTAATTATAAGTAACCGCTGTCGTCCTCTTTCTTGTCATGAGCGACGTCGTCACCCTCATCCATTATCCGTTCCTTGTCCGCAACGTTTGTCGGATCTTGCATGACTTGTTCGGCGACAATAATCCGGCCACGTTCTCCTGTCAAGGGACTGCTCTTAAATTTCCCTGCCTTGACGCTGACCGTAGGGACACGAGATAAGGTAGGGGGGAAGCGCATATCACTCGGTAGAGTAACAGGGGGCGTATTCATCCCCGACTCCTTAGCAAGGGTAAGACGACGTTTTCTCTCAAGTAGGATGGCTTCCAGAGACGGTGCTGGTGACGAGGCTCGTGTACCAGGGGCGCTGACAGAACCGGGAGCAAAAGCAACGATCCCAGCACTAGAGACAGATCTCTTCTTCAAAGTGGATGCATTGTTAGTTGTCTTCGCGGGCTGGTGCATATCTTGCCGCTCGTCCATCGCTGCCAAAGCTTCTGGGGTCTGAGTAACTGAAAAGACCGCCTCAGGTGTAACCTGCTTCTTGATACTATCGTTGATAGGAGATAATACCGAAGCCATCGAGACAGGTTGTTTTGTAGAAACGTCGTCGGTCTCACGAGGTGTCGGGGGCTCACTGCGAGAACGGAAGCCAAACGACTTCATTGACAGAGAACCCAGGACTGGACCAATGAGAGCAGGCTTGACCGCCTCAATAGGCTGTGCGGCTGTGGAGTGTAGGTCAGGTAAGGATTGTCCATGGACCTCTAAAAGAGGTGGGTGTTCTGTTGGGACGTAAGACGAGATAGTGCCACCAGCACCATCCTGATCGAATTCGTCATAGATTTCTTCACCAATAAGTTCTACGCGGAAGTTGTAAGGATGCGCCAGTGATAAGAAGTGGTCGAAAGTGCGTACCTTCAAGGACATCTTCCAGAGTAATGATGCCGAGTGGCATTATTGCCGGGTCAATGACCTGTAAAAAGTCCTCGGCACCTTCTTTCGTCAAAACAGCGTCATCAGGGATACTTTGCTCCAACGCAGGCGCTGAGCGAGGTATACGGAGTTTCTTCTCCTTGCCAGCGGCCTGCTCTTCAATAATGCCCATTTCGACGTCACACCTCACCCTGTCGCGTTGCGAGGGGCGTCCTCGCCCGCGGCCGGCCCGAACAGCTCGTTGGGGTATATGTATAGCTGAATCTTTGTCGTCTCCGCGCAATGTGGATTTACCATCAGCATCCAGTTCATCGGCAAAGGATGTGTCCCGCGATGCCTCGCCCTCGTCTTTGTTCTTGGTGTCATCCTTCTCTCTACCATCGTCGTCCTCATCACTCGATTCACCTATGCCAACACGTTCGCGCAGGCGTTGCGTGAGGGAACGCTTGGCGACCTTCTTGACCGAAGCAGCTTTCTCGACACTAAAGCGGGAGACAATAGCCATGTGTGAACGGCCCTCCTGGAATTTGTCTAGAATGCCCAGGAGAGACTCGTTATTTGGTACGAAAGGAACCTTGTTCAATGGAATCCTGCGCAAAGGAACTGCATCTTTTGGATCAAGAAGAAGACACTGGAAGATTGGATCAGAAAAGATAAGACAGACACAAGGAGAGACTCACGTGTTTGACGAGCAGGATACCGATTATCTTCTTGACCTTCAACATGCGATCTGATGAATCAGCAGGGATCTCGACCTCTTCATACACAGGAACACGGCTGTGTCCGGTAAGGCAGATTTTCTTCATAAGCGCATAGTCGAGTTTCGAGTCAATCGATAACATGAAAACGTTCTCAATGGGGGTCATCGCCTATAGCCAGCGTAGACACATAAGTCAATATCTCCGAAAACGTAGACTAGTCCCGGAACTAACCTGCTTCACGACCTTCTCTTGTAAGTCAAGAGTGGCGCCAATAATGGTGACTGTGTCACTCTTGAGATCACCACCAAGGGAAGACATTGACGAATGCAGTGCGATGAGCTCTTTGAGTTCTGAACAGAGGAAAACGGTCAGTATAATTATGGATATGAAACATGGGCTTCTACCTCCTCTGCGGTACATAATTCCATGATGGGGACCAAGTACTAACTCCAAAAGTTTCGCAACAGGCCATGCCAAGACGCCCTATTATAAATTGGTTCATATCCTCAATGGGGGCATGTAATGACGTACAAGAAGACAGATTAGGACTCGAGTGAAGCCTGCCATTTGAGCGCCGAAGTAAAGACCATGTCGGGTGCATAATGATTGCGGAATGATTTCGGAGAAGCTAGAAGCAATTTTGGATGAGCAAGATTTAAATAGAAATGTAAGAATGTGGGGAAGTTTAAGACGCATCAATGACTGAGATATCCCCTGACAGATTCATTTTGCGGATCGGAAAAGGGCGCGTCAAGAACGGATCAAAAGCAAGGCGACGCGCCAAAAGATTTGAAAAACTGGCTGACGAGAATGTACTCACATGACAATTAGGACGGTACTGACGACTACACTCTGCACTCCACCACCGAGAATGGGGTCGGAGATGACAGGTAGAGTCTCGTTGACGATCATATTAGCGAGAAGTAATGTCACCAAGAGTAAATGGCCATTTTTCCTGATAGGCATGATCTTCTCAGCATAACGCTTTTGTTGACTGTAAAAGACACGATGAGGATAGCAATATGAAGACAAATACACCTAACGAACGGGCTGCCACTCATGCTCAACACATTAAGCTGGGTCTCGTCCAAGCTCATGTAACCCAATGTCAGACCGGCAAATACACCTGATAGGAGGACGAGGACAGGAATAAGACACGCGAAGACGATGAACTCGGGACCGCGAGTGCTTGCGGCGGCACGCTTTGCGTACGCGTGGAGGGGTGAAGGACTGTCGTCATCTGATGTATAACCAAGGAGTTTGCGAGTGATGCTGGGCACATATTGCGATAGAAGCGAGAATGAAGTAACTAGAAGACGGGGGGAACGAGGGGAAGAATTAAGCGGGGTCGGTACCATTCAGTAAAGCTGAGGTCAAAAAGGATGCAGTAAGTGACCGAAACGCAAGGCTTATAACTTCTGGCCGATATTAGTCATCAACATTCTATGATGACGAAATTCTAGTCAAGTTGGAGCCAAAAGAGTGGTAAGTAATTATTGAATAAGCCCCTGGAGAGACTAATATAAAACAATATTTTGCGATGGCCGCTGTTACAGCATATTTCCTTGATAGCAAAATTTTCTCACATGGACGACCAATGAACATGCACTGCATAAAACTAGGCAGCTTCTAGAATTTACGAGATGAAGTTTCTTGCTGTTTACCTACTGGAGTTGTTAATTCATATTCGTTATAATGGAATATTCCAAAAATAGATCGCATGTGTGAACGTCGCCAAATCCATCGCCCGCCAGTTGATTTCTTTGGGAACAGCGCCCGCGCTCGCACTCGACATAGCCTAGAACATCTACCGCTTTCGCTCATCGGGATATTCGGGTTTGTCGACGAATTTGCAAGCACGTTGGCCTAGAAGCGTGACTTTTTGCGCGTGGATAGATGCAAGACGAAATGAAGGAGCACATGTTGATGAAGTTAAATATGGACCGATATACATATACAATATTGTGTGAGCATCAGGTTGTCCTCATACCAGGATAGGTGTATCATACTCTCCCTCGGATTACCCTCGGAGATATTTAGTGTAATCCCGTGACGTCATGACCAGCTGTAGCTCCTCTCCCGATCCAAGTTCACCGTGATCGCAAGCACACCGGATCGGCGATTTAATAGGTTCGAGAAGGATAGTAGTACGGACAACACTACAAGATACCTGCAACCCTCGTACTCGGTGCTACCGCGACTATTGTTCTTATGGCTTAGCCTGTCGCGACTATATCGGATCCTGAGTCAAAGTTTGTGCTGCGTCTCGTCACTACCACAGAAATCGACCATCTTGTGTATGGAGCCTCTATGGTTATATTAATCTCTAGCGTAAAGCTTGAGCAATGGTGAGTCGTGACGCAGTCCGAGGTCTAACAGGGCTAGCATGCCAAGTGAGCGATGTAGCAACTGTGATTGTGCGGCTGTCATACCTTTATGGAGCACTGCTAACCAGTGCTTCGCATCGGAAAACCCCTATATCGTGGTACAAACGAGGATACCTAACATTCACTTTAGGCTGTGATGGTACAATCTAGCTTGACATGCATTTCGAAGACATGCAGAAAATGGCTAGTTGTATGAAGTCTGCGCACACTCCATGCCAAAGTCTGGCCCAGGGCATGTCTGGGCAATGTCTAGGGGGGACATATCTGTGATCGGAAAGTTCCGCGCAGTCAAAGGTCTGTCTGAACGATTGTCCTGCATCATCGCAACCACCCTGCCGTTGATCCTACGTCAGCGCTTCAGCCACCATCACGCATCCCGCCGATTTAAATACCGTCATGTCATTCTCGTCATCTGTGTCAGCTTGTCGTTACGGTTCTAGTCACCTGGAGATATGCAGCTGTGGTAGACTGGGAGTTGCAGATAACAACATCGCGTTGGCAGGCAGGTAGGAAATAGATAGGAAGAAGCAGTAGACAGACAGGCAAGCGTGAGATACTCACAGAGATAAGAAGAGATGGAGGTAAAGATCCTCAGGATAGCCGCAGCCTGCAGGCAGGATGGAGGATAGTGACATGCGGCAGCCTCGACTTCGTGGCGCTTTCTGAATCCGAGCAACCCACTGACAGGCATCCAGTTTGTATGGACCTCCCACAGACCGACCAAATCACTGCGGCAAGATTCCCAGTGTCATTCGGAAACGGCCGTGCATATGGAGTTTGGCTCATGACTCGGTCATTTTATCAAAGGCTGACCGAACCTGGAGATGAAGCTTCTCGGTGTCCCCGACAACCTGTGAACCACCCTGCCGATGGGTCATGGATACTGAATGCAGCTGACCAGGTATAGACTTGGTTACAGTGATGCACAGTCCATTAACTCCTAAAGTTGTATAAAGGCCCATTGGTATCCTTCTAAACAGAACGACTCGAAGAAGAACGGCGCGGTGACTTGTATGGGTAGCGGGAGACACCTGATGGGAACTGTTCGAAGCTGCTGTTACCTACCATTCAAGCGTGCCTACTAGTTAACAGACCCTTTCCTACTAGGTGATCCGGGTGCCTGCGGCAGGTCCTGCCAAGGACGCTCAACTGGTCGCTTGGGCTTGGGCTTGGGCTTCGTTTCATGGGTAGTCATTGCTACCTGGCGTATTTGTGTTCTTCACTGCATCCTGGATTTTTCTTTTTCTCCTACCTTGCGGTTTCACCTCGCGTTCACCACCCTATACATGTTCCAGTTATTAGCAATCATAATGTGTATTGCGTCCTCATCTCAGTGATCTCACTCAGCAAACCAAAGACGCAGAAATTGAATGCATGATTGATATGTCAAGAAACAAAGTACTGTCAAGGAGAGGCTACGCTACAGGATGCGATTCGGAAGCCAAATTGGTGTGTGGGGAAGCGGAATGCCCTTAGAAGCCTCGACCATAATTAGCCACTATAGTCAAGGTCCGTCCAGTATACGTACCCACCCTGTCCAGGGAGCCGACAATCTACTTCGGAATGTTATTATCAGGGCACTAGTAACGTGAAATTTTGGAGATCTAATTATGTGACCCGAGCTTGACGAGTTCAATGACTCACATAGGTGCTAAGTAGGTGTCACACGGACACCCCAGTTACGGTGCCAGCACCCAGCTTCTTCAAAACTGAAATGAACTTCCTTCTTTACTTACTTATTGATTCTCAGTTACATCCGAGGGTGCAGGTTGACCAATGATGAAATGAGCTCTGTGTTTCAGCGCGAATTGCGCGGGGTAATCGCTGCCACCGTGGGATACTAGGTGGTAGTATTCGTTCGGGGATACGTAGCTTCTCAACGTGTATCCAACTCCATGAGAGTACAAATAAGCCACTAGGCAGCAGTACCAGGTATCAGACCACGCGATCTACTGCTAATGCTGAGGTCGACCTACCTGTAAGTCATGTCAGTCTTTGTTCTGGAGGGATATCATTCTTACCGCCGTCTTTGTGATACTAGTAGATGATCAAAAGATTATTGATATAATCAAAGCAGCCTGACCGTGCGGTCGCACCGCTGGACCGTCTGTTTCACAGCAATTCGATAGAGTATTAGTTTTATGTCAAGTTTTATCCAAAGTCACTGATAGCAGTTTTCTACACTACCCTCCGTTTGACTTTTCGCTTTTAGGTTGCCACGTCATATCCCTAACCTGTTTTCTCACCGCGTGTAGTCATCTCGCCGCCTGAGCCCACCTTTACAGATACAGCTGGTGCAGGCCCGCTTCTGAGCGAGCCACGTCCACCATCCAACGTTCGATAAACGTAGGATTTGATTCTGTCTAGGTTTCAATATGTCATGGGCTTGTTAAAAACCTTACACCAAAACTATTCCATCTGCCGGTATAGGTACTCCCTCAACCTTTAAAATGGGGACTGAGTTCCGGACCTCATTCCAACATCCTTCTCCGCTCTCAAAATCTTGAAAAAGCCTGATATCAGCGTGCACAGATGACCATCTCAGCGACCCAGTGGGGTTCCCCTACCGCTACCAGACGAGCTCTGCTCATTCATGGCATTACTATGTCATCGAATTCCTGGGAGGGTCTCGCTCAACTATTGGTGGCAGAAGGTTAGGCTCGACATACTATAGTGACGTTCTTCAAGTTGCCTGTTAACAGATTGATCAGGTTTCTTTATTGTGGCCCCGAATCTTCTTGCGCATGCAGGGAGACAGGGTAATACCGACTACCGTATATCCGCCTTTGCAGAGGACCTCCGACCATATTTCGTCATGGACACGTCCTACGACGTAATCATCGGTCATTCTTTCGGGGGTGCAGTGGCAGTATCTCTCTTGCCATTCTTGCCTAAAAAGAAAGGAACCACCGTTATACTCCTCGATCCTGGCCTCGAGTTTACAGAGGAACAGAACAAGATGAACTTAAATCTATTTCTAAAGGAAACGGCGAATATCAAGCCCGTCGACGTGCATATGGCTAAGAATCCTGCTTGGTCACGCCGTGACTGCGTGTTAAGAACGCTGGGATTCTCCATGTGCGATCGTACGACGGTCGAGGTTTTTCGGGTAATTTCACAGCTGTCGGAATGGGGAGCATTACTGACTGGGCCTGGAATAGCAAAACAGCCCTTGGTCTTTTAAGGGCCTGCTCAAAAATATCCCCCCTCATGTGGAGATCACCGTGCTTGTGTCAGACCCAAAGTTCGGCCTTGGTATTTGTAAGACCGAACACATTCCTCGTGACGTGGAAAGATTGAATGTTAGAGCTCTTACCGGTATCGGTCACTGGATTCAATACGAATGTCCAGATGTTATCATGGATGCAATTCCGCTACCAAGGGCAAACTTATGAGGAAGAAATTGTCTCTTGAGGTGTATATGGTTGTTGGCTACCTTTTGTAGAATCCCTATTCGCATAACGTTGGGCAACGCCCTGTATGATGTTTGAGAACCCCCTCAAGTTCGATCGTTACTGCACGTACATCACCCTTTGATGAACTTTGAAGAGTGATGGGGGATACCAAAACGCATCAAGATTCAACAAACGGTGGATGCGAGCTTAGCAAAAACGCCTTTTTTGGGCGAGTGTTTGCTAAGCATACACACCAGAGCTGCGGCAAATAGGCAACTTCCCATGATGTATGAATTTTCAATGAAAACCAACATGTGACAAGTTGTTATTATGACCTTGGTCTTGCGAACGGATTCGAGAAAGGTGGATACGGTAGGAACGCCGGCCTTCATCACAGATTATCACGATGGGACGCAAGAAGGGCTCATTTGCAACATTCCGGATTGTGAAGATCAACGTATTGGTTTGAGCTTGCATATTGATAGACATATGTCAGTCTGCCGCGTTTTATACCAGGGCAACTGTGTTACACTTTAAGTACTGGCAAGGATCAGATTAGAGATTTTCCGAGTGGTAAAAAGCTGAACCTGTGTTTTTGTCAACACTCGCACCCGGGCCAGAAAAAATGGAGATATCATGTGGAATCATCAGGACGCAAGCTACGTTATGGGAAGCGGAGTTGAAAAAGACAGCTGCTGCCGTTTCAGAAGAACCCAAATGTAGTCCGAGTAGTCTTCGAGATTAAGGATGTTACGAGATTCCAGGATTCATTGAGATTAGCAAGAGGGTGCTGTTCCAATTGAGCTAGCGAAGATGACAACTGTTACTATCAACATATTGATTAGTGTAAAGGAAGAAATAGATGCTATACTATATCGCACCTCCGAAAGAAGGGCACTGATTATCGGATAATCGTGAATGAGTTTTAATCAAAGAGATCATACTTCCAGGGTATTATGAGATGAGACGTTGAAGTATACAGCGATGATAGCGTATGGACCATCCTCCTCGTGTAAGATATTCGCCAGGGCCCAGCATCGAGTAATGGAGTTCCTCATCGTACCTAAAAGGATAGGACGGTCTTGAAGCAGCGCCATGCGCGAGATACTAGATTAGAGTCTAGGCGAACAACACGAGGTTATCGTGATGAATGCATCATGAATCTTGAACAGCATAACATGAGGGAATGTACCAAGAGAACGGCATGAATTGCTAAACGTCAATATTCACGAGGAACGTCGTTCCCCCTGCAATCCCATATTGATGGTATGTTTTATGCTTGTGCAGACCCTAGTCTTGGGATCACAGATACTAGGATAGAGGGACCAAAATCGACAAGGTAGGGTCGCGGTATATTTGGGAGATTTTATATCATGGTAGTGGTGACAACGCTGCAACTGACGGCGAGCTCTGTCGTGAATTTCATTGACCTAAAACTCTTAGCAAGACATTCAGAACAGATTCATCAAAAAGGATATTAACATACTGTGTAACGCCGCACTCGGTTCTTACTTCTCAGTGAACCTCTCTACGATCGAAGCAAATTTAAATTTCAGGACTCTACAGATGCTGAACCAGAAAAAAAAAGAGAAAAACGAAACATACCGTGACGACAAGTTCCGCGGCCAACCCATGGCTCAATTTTGTATATCGAAAGACACCAGACTGAGTCGAAAAGGTCTGGCAGGTCAATGCATGAATAAACTATGATAATTGACCGAAGCTTAAGTTTGAGAAATTTGAGGCTTACTAGCATGACTAAAACAGTTCTAGTAATAGCCATCATGTGCAGTCACCAAGCAGCCACTTCAACATACCCGACAACGACATCCGTTGCCAAGTCCCACCACGCTCACTGGTAGCAGCTGACCGCGACGTCGACGGGTTTCATCGATGCATACACTTTCACGGTTTCTTTGGTACCTTATACATGCAACACTCGCTCGAGTCAGTGCACAAGAGTCACTTACTCTCAATACTTTGTATTCTTTTTCCGAGGCTTCTCTGTCTAGTGATCCCACATTTTCTCTTCCACAGGCTCAGCAGCTGACGGTATCCGTCGCCATTTGCTCAACTGGAACGACATCTCCAGCATTTTTCGTGAATAACAACACAGCGTCCACCACCGATATTTTTGAAATCCAATTGTATAGCGGATTCGGGAATTGGACTGGCACCACACAGCAAGGCGGATCATTAGTGGTACAAAATGTCGGTCAGACCTCATTCCAAGTTGTTGCATCGACAGGAGGTATGTACGTCGAATAAACACTGAATTCGATAGTTGTTCATACTGCCAGTAGCTCTTGTGCATGAACTAATTCCTGCACTCCCATTCCTCGGGGATACTACCAATACGCAGGCTCTAATATATTCGCCTCCATTCTCACCCATAGAATCCTCGCCGCCAACGTATCCCAACTACACACTCCCTCCTGCCAACCTTTCAATCCCTTCACCGCCATCATCACCTCCCGCATTCTCTCTCGTCATCGCGCCCACTTCATCTGGTCTTGCATCTGGCATGCAGACAGCATGTAGCATCAACTCTACTTTCTCCTCAGGCTTGGTAGTGAGCAACGATCTCTGGCTGCGCAACAACGATGGGTGGAGGTCTCAGTGGCTTATTGATGACTTGACACCGAGCACAAACTACACCGCATATGTTATCCAGGACCAGGTAAAACTGAGCGGACCCATATATTTCACTACCAAATCTCGTACGTTTCCTCCTTGGTGTAGCATACGTTCGCTTATGTCTCCGATCAGCATCATTCCCCTGCCCCCTCGTGCACTCCCTTCCATTTTGTCCATCTACATCATATTCTGTTCCTCTTCCCTTTCCTCAATCCCCTGCATCATCATACGACTCTTCAAATCTCCCACAGAGCATATCAGACCCCCTTCTTCAGTATATGACCAACTTCACGACCATGCTTCTCACATTTGCATGCGGGCGCGACTTATACTCTCCTTTGCAGACCTGTGAAAGCTGCCAGGAAGCATATCGTGCTTGGTTATGTTCCGTGTCCTTCCCGCGATGCGCCGAGCCCCCATCAAGTTCTTCCTCGCCATCGTCCCCAATGCCGGCATTGACCACGCCTCGGAGCGGCTCGAACCCACGCAACCCTTTCCTGCCCAACGTTTCATACTCATACCAAACGGTCTTGCCTTGTCTGGAAGTTTGCAGCGCTGCTGATCGCGCATGTCCAACTTTCTTGGGGATGAAGTGCCCAACTACACGGTTCAATGCGGCGTCGAGCTACGGTGTCGGATTTATCGACGAAAAACAGGGTGTGCTTGGCGGTGGGAGTACAGGTACAGCACAAGATCGGTGGGGAAACGTGTGGTGTAATCCTAGTTGACTTGTGATGTGTCAACTTGCATAGCAAATTTTGCTGACAAGGTTTAGAATTATGAATGACTGATGTAAAGTGAGCACTGTAAGTAAGTGTTTGTGAAGTTGGCGGCCCGGCCGGACTACGTAGCACTGCGCTATCTGCTAAAAGTGCCCCTGGCGCCACCAAAACCTACGGTACAAGAATCGTCTGTGTACGTCGTTACTTGCTAATTAACACCGCAGCTTTACTCGTCCAAATTATGGACGCATGAAAGGGTGTGGTGCCGTGAAAGAGATGCAGAACTCTCAACGACTCGTCTTTCTTCGTGATAGAGACTCGTCCGATAATGATTTTTGTACCATCACTAGCCCGTTGAAGTTGGGACATTGGTCGCCTCCGCTACGACAGTTAGGGGGGCTTAGTGGCACAACCGACGGCGGGTTAAAACGTTCATCTTTGAGACAGCATGAGAATACAGTACATACAACATTTGACCCCGTAACTTCTTCACGTTCTTGGCATCTGAGTAACGTACACTGAATTTATCTCCAAGTTTAGAGTACACGCGTCTTCCACTCATCTTTCAGACGATAAGCTTCTGTGATAGTCTGGGGAGTAACCACAGACTGAAATCTGACTCTGAGCATGGCCTCATGGTGACTGGCACTGGTATCGTGGCTAGATCAGTCTTGCACATACAAGCTGTTACAAGTAACATCGGTCACGTGGCCCCCCTATCATTTTCCCTTCATCCTCGCCCTCACCATCTACCGGCTCGTCCTCCTTTACCGACTTTCCGTTGACCGGATCCTCAGGACTGTTCCCATCCCTCGCATCGCCCGCCTCTATGCACGTGCACGCACGTTCCTCCCCTGATTCGACCACCAATGTGGTCCCGCACCTATGACTCATGCCACCAATGTGGCTTTCCTCTTTCTGTTTCCCCTGACTGCGGATTCCCGCACGTTGTATTCTTACCGTTGGTCCGTTCCAACGTTTCTCGGTCTCATTCCACATTCGACCACCCATCACTAATCCGGCTATGTTGCCAACGCACCTATACCATTCTCGTTTCCCCTTTACCCTTACCTACTGTGCAGTAGCCTTGCCCTTAACCCTCTCCACTTAGTATAAGTAGTTGGTCACTGTTACAAGTAACATCGGTCACGTGGCCCCCCTATCATTTTCCTCTCATCCTCGCCCTCACCACCTACCGGCTCCTCCTCCTCTACCGACTTTCCGTTGACCGGATCCTCGGGACCGTTCCCGTCCCTCGCATCATCCGCCACTATGCACGTGCACTGCACGTTCCTCTTCTGATTCGACCACCAATGTGGTCCCGCACCTCTGACTCGGTCTGACTCGTGCCACCAATGTGGCTTTCCTCTTTCTGTTTCCCCTGACTGCGGATTCCCGCACGTTGTACTCTTACCGTTGGTCCGTTCCAACGTTTCTCGGTCTCATTCCACATTCGACCATCCATCACTAATCCGGCTATGTTGCCAACGCACCTATACCATATTCGCATCCCCTTTACCCTTACCTACTGTGCGGTAGCCTTGCCCTTAACCCTCTCCACTTAGTATAAGTAGTCGGTCACCCTGTACTAGATTCTCTAACTTGAATCTACTCAATCTTCCCTGGAACATACTTCCCTCTGAAGCCCCCTCAGCTTCAGTCTCTAGTATCTTTTCTTAGTCGCTCTTCGCGACTAAGTCTACCTCGATCGACCTCATCGTCCGGACAAGACAGTCCTGACTTTGAGTGACTTCTTAGACATCTGTCTACCAAGTCACGTGACACGCGCGTACTGTGATCGCTGCCGACTCGTCGTCGCCAGTCTCACTTGCTATACCGGATCCTTCCGGTTACGTCACGAACGTTAGCGGACGACGCCCCTCTTAGGGCTCCGCCTAACAGATCTATTTGAGTGCGTAACAGTCACTCTGTACTAGATTCTCTAACTTGAATCTACTCAATCTTCCCTGGAACATACTCCTCTCTGAACGCCCCTTTGGCTTCAGTCTCTAGTATCTTTTCTTAGTTGCTCATCGCGACTAAGTCTACCTCGATCGACCTCATCGTACGGACAAGACAGTCCTTACCTTGAGCGACTTCACAGACATCCGTCTACGAAGTCACGTGACACGCGCGTACTGTGATCGCTGCCGACTCGTCGTCGCCAGTCTCACTTGCTATACCGGATCCTTCCGGTGACGTCACAAATGTTAGCGGACGACGCCCCTCTTAGGGCTCCGCCTAACAGATCTATTTGAGTGCGTAACACAAGCAAGTGCTGTTCTCAACAGCAATGCCAATGGTTGTGCCTTTTTGCCAACCATGACACTTGGAGTGACAAATCTCCTGCACAAGGCTGTTCACAGTGATGTAAAAAACGTGGATCTGCAATAGTGAAATGAGAATGAGATTACAAGGCACGGCAAGGTTGACCTCAAAATACGTACCTCTTCTAAGTCATTACTCGCCACGGCTGCGATGGGCATGTTGATACGAGCAGCGGGAATGTGGCTGTTCGTGAGTTTGAGCAGGGTATAGGCTGTGCTCTTCGGGTTGTTCAACGACATTTCGTAGATCTGGTAGTCTTTGTTTTGGAAGTAGACGCGGAATTTCCCATCATCGTTTTGCACTGCGGTCATAGTGGTACCGATGAAGTGGGTGGGTAGAAGGTCGGACATATGTGCAGACTGTGAGACAGCTGCTGATGCGGACATGATTGCTGCAACGTGCGAGAATGAACATGAGAAGCCATGGACGTGCTGCTAACTGTGACTCACTTTTGTAGAAGGTCGTTGAAGCGATGAAAGTCAAGTAGTGAACAAGTCTTGCTTTTAAACCTCTAGGAAACTCCTATCTGGAGAATAGTGCAGATATGGATGATTCCTTTCTGAGAAGAAAATGAAATAGCATGGAGCCATCATGATGTCTGGGCACGAATCTGACTGTCATCCACAGAATCTGGAACAGAAGATGAGGTCACCATAGGCCCTCAGAAGTACTATGCGCACCCGGGCCCACATATAATCCAACTACATCAGATGATAATCAGTCACATTGCTCACAAGGTAGCGCAGACACACCTCTGGGCCAGAAAATGTGTGCCCTCGTTCGCGAAGGTGCTTGAGTCGCACTCGACCCACTTCAAGGATAAATGAAATGAGGGGTCTCCACGGTGTAGGGATTCATTTCTGGCTAGGCTTGGAGAGACTGTCTTTACCTTACCTTATGTTGGCACTTTGTAGCTTACATAAAGAAAGTTACCTTTTCACCAGTTACCAGTATGAGTCTGAGTCTTCAGTAGTTTTTATGACATTTCCTCTCCTCTGAGCCTTGAGCCTGGTCCAGAAACCCTTTAGGGTCGAATAGCAGCTAGGTTCTGCAAGACCCAACATTGTTCAGACTCACCATCTGAATTGTTGTACCTTCAACGGTGTCTGGACACGGATCTGACCATGATCCAGAAAATACATTGCCCAAGATGCGGTCATTGTGTGCCATCAAATAAGTGTCAGTTTGTGCACGCCCAGGCCTGCATGCAGAAGGTTCGGTTCATCCACAATGATGACATGCCTTGAGGTGACTAAATATCGATAAAGTTGCTATATTCGAATTTCGGAGGCATCCAGAAGAAACAATACAGTAAACTATCACCAGCTAAAGCTGTTGACGATGACGTTTCGTATCGCCTACCAATATAATTGTCAATAGTGTGATATGTTTATAATTAGTGTATGATTGTTGCATCAAACACATAGCTGGCTTGAACGAAATGGTGATGTCGGAAGGGCAGAGGGTGTGCAGGCCAAACAAGGTCGTAGACAATCTGAGTCATACGGGGCAATGAAGAAAAACCTGGACACCTGTGTAGTTGATGTGGCTATTTTTTGTGTTCGTCGCGCCCAACAGGTTGATTCGGGGAATAGCAGGCATTACGGCAAACACAGATGACGTTACCGGCAACGTCTTGATGGTGAAACATTGCCAGGGCAAAAAGAACAAGGTCATGGACTGCGAGTAGTCTGCGACGACAAGGACATTCCATGGGTCAATGGTATCATGAAACAGTGAGCACTTTGTCGCACAGCACATTTAAAGACTGACATTACTCAGGTCTGTGAGCCAGGGTTGATTCTGGGGTTGAATGGGCAGAAACTATATCAGGTTTATTGAAGGAGTAATATGTTCGTATAGAATTAGTCTTGCACAATGCAGTAGTTGACATGGTCCGTGACACGTGACGCGCATGACATTTGGGTCATGAGAGACTAGTCACCTTGCTTGCAAGGTCATATGCCACTAGGGGTTCGCTGTGCGAACTTATGACCTTGCTCCAGAGAATTTTTAATTCGTGGGAAATGGGTTATGCAAATTTTCATCCTAGGACGAAAAATGCCGTCAAGGCAAAATAGACCAACGCAACGTGCAGTATCTCGATAATGCCTTGATCAAACCAACCGTTATGCCTGCAAAAATCCTGTGGGAAAGTGAATCCCCACATCTAGCTGCTCTGTCATCTTTCACTGTTCTACAAGTACCCGATTGCCTTGTGCTTTTGACAGTTCGTCACGAACACGACTTCCGAGCTCGCAGCCTCGCACTCCACAGAACAACTTTTTGCCATTCCTCCGAATCCCAAAATGAAATAAGTCGTGTAGGGCCACATCCGTGGCAGGGCTCACTACCTCGTGTGTGGGAACGGACGGCGTGGTTCACTTCTTGTGCTTCTTTTTTAAAACTACTGCCATGTTTATCGGATGTGAATCAGGTTCAGGCTGTGTGCTGAGTGGATCGAGCGCTTAGCAAAGATATATAAGATGTCAGTGTGTGATGAGTCCTTTTCTTACTCTGTGATCCCTTCCTAGCTTCTCAGGCCTGAAAAGGCGTGCTGACCGTGTGCTGACATGCACCAAACTTGTTTTGTGCATGGTCATGGCTACTTTTTAGCTTTGACATTCTCTGCTATACTTTACGAAATTACTAAGAATTTTCTATAACACATTATGATTTGAGTTGAGTAATTTTCAGACATAACAAACCCATAAATACTACATAATAATTCAATTAACACTTATCCAATTTAAAGATAAGTTCCAAACATACCACAACACATTAGTCAGCATTCCCTCACAATCTTATGATTGTTTTTTTTTTACAATTCTTCACATTTTTTTCTGTATGTTCTGAAACATATTTACGGTAGCATTCCAACATTTCAACAGTTCATGTGTGATCAATGGTTTAGTCAGATGAAATGGATTAGTAAGATGAGATGGATTAGTCAGGAAACTGAAGAAAGAAAGTTGATAGATGGGAATATTTAAGAAGTGAACAAGTCATCATGAGACATTTCAACTATGACTCAGTATGAGTCATTATGAGTCATTTTCTGTCTGAGTCACTATGAGTCATCTTTAATATGACTCAGTATGAGTCAGGATGAGTCATATTTCCTTAAATAGATAGTTACACAGCCACATTTAGAGTAGTATATAAGGGGCCCAGTTTCCCCTCTGAATAATGACAATCTCCCTTTTGAAATAAACTTCCTTTGAGAGGACAGACATCCCCCTTTTAGAGAGAGGGAGGAGGATTTGAGTATCTTCCTGAATTTCTCACCCTACATTTGTGTGAACATCTGAGTGAATATTAGTTTATTCCCTCCATTCTTTTGTCATCATTTCCCACAACATACTGATCTTCTGAGGCCTACCTTGAGCCAATCCTTGAATTACACTAGCTGGTACATGGTTATCAGTCATCTAGTTGTAGTTTCGTCACATTCTCTTTGCAACACAGGATACCTTTTCTGTGGGGAGAATTTACGTATTTTTAACGATTAGGAGGACGACAAATAAGACTAGCACTTTATTCAACAATATTAAGAGCTTGGCTGCTTTAAGACTACATCAAGAGGGTGTACTCTGTTTTGATTCTGCGTCATACTCATTGTGAGTGCCTGAGCAGCAGAGAAGTTAGATTCGAAGCCACATATTTCGGTTGATTCAATTGTGTTAGAGGCTTAGTTTGATCTCTAATTTTTGAGAATAGGGAGTGTTTACAAGATATTACTCTGATTCATTGTGTACTGTGTGATTCATATCTTCATCTTCATATTGCACACCTTTGCAATCCTCTTTTAGTAGCATCGTAGTACTGCATCAAGCCAGTTATCAATTCAGCTACATCATTTACAATCTTTATCTTTAACATCTTAAGTACTGCATCAAGCCAGTTAATGGACTATCAACCTTCAAGTACCTAAGCACTGCATCAAGCCAGTTAACGGTCACTATCTCAACCCACCTAAAGTCATTAGAAGTTTGCTTAGATCAACACTGCTGTTCACGCCTCCTCCCACGAACAACCACGTTATCAACTGTTGGTATTTGTCTGAACCATTGACCGTGGAGGATAGTGAGAACTGGTGATTTTATTGCCAATCACATCCTAGTAAGACAGCACGGTTTGTTTTCTATAGACCTGACCGTGGTCTTACAAGCCCCGTAGTTGGGACAGAGAGATCACTTCGAGTTTATTTTTAAGTGTCTGATTTTTGGTCTTTTGATCCTTATGTATAGCGTCTTTGGCTTTACAAAGGTCCTTACTTTGTGATCGGTATGCGTTCACTACTAATATCATTTTTCTTCGCCTTGTACCTCTGAGGACAAGTGGTACAATGTATTCTGCCAATTCAAACATCTCCACATCTCGATTGTTTCTTCATTCTCTCTGTCTCTTTTTTAGACCATTTCATTATTTACAATATGCAGGCGCTGATCATGCTGTTATCTGTCAGTCCATGATCTGGATATGTTGACACATTCAGCTCACCTGTTTATCAAAAAATTGATTAAAACCATGTCCTTTTTCATGATGTCCACAATAAAATTTTCACTGTCCACCCGCACCTGTTTCATGATCAAAATACTACCCTTTTGAGTGATATTTGTCTGGTCTCCGCTCAAACTCGCCATTCGTTGAAGCAGCAGTGCATCCAGCGACACATTGAGGTTAGGCACTGCTGTCAACGATCGTCGGAGGTGTCATCGTATTGTGGTACAGTCATCTAACTCTCATTGTTTGACCCAATAATTGACATCTAAATCATCCAATGTAGGCAGTCCTTTTACTCCATCATGCATTGGAAGCTAATTCGTACATTTGTAATCATTACGACCAGTCTTTGTAAAAGCCGTGTCCGTCAGAAATAACTGCTCAAGTGCCTTCTTCTTCCCAATTAAAAGCCAAATTTACTAAGTCTTCTGCTAAAACCAGGGACTCTGCATACACGACTGAAGTCGCAGGATCATTCGCAATCAGGTTAGCAATGCCTGTCAACATTTCAGTGTAAAGTCATCCTTCTGGACTTTAGCTTGTATGGTTGAATTCTGCGTGATCATTATACAAAGCATTGGTGGCTATGATGGAAGGCGATTCTGTGTAAATCATTGTATCGTCACATGCATCGAAGATCGCACGCATGCTGTCGCTAGTTTCGATGTGTACATGATTACCTCTGCGAAATTGGTGCTCTACTGCCACTCTCCAAGTCAGGACTGTTAAGTATTTAGCAGTTCAAACACACTGGGCTGCATGGCCGTCATGTTTAGGGGCATGATGTCGTGAAATTTTCGTCAGATATCCTCTGACGTCATCAGACTAAGTCTGGTGGACAGTGGACTGTCCATAGGACTGTCTGTTGGTATCAATGTGT